GCCTTAGCCACTTGAGCCACAGGTGCCAAGCCCAGATGGTTGATTTTGAGCCAAGTAATCATGGGACTTTAGAAAAGCAATTAAGTCAGACATTAAAAGAGAGAAGGAAAGTTGCCTCCTAGACAGACAATCAGGTCAAAGGCCACAACAGGTGATGGGGGGAGGTGGCACCAGCAGCTCTATGTGACCAGACCCCTCAACAGAGAGCCATCGAGCTGCCAGGGGAGACCCCAAAATGTGCTTATTCATGCTTCAACAAATATTAATTTGAACATTCACTATGTACCAGGCACTAGACACAGACTACTAAGGTGAACCTAACCTCAGAAGAGACAGAAAGGAAACTCATACCAATTAAGTAAACAGAATGAGCCAACAAGTGCAACTGCCCAGTGTGGCCAGCGCTGGGTCCAAGCTCCCTCCCACTCCAGAGCATCCCTGGGCAGGCTCCCTCCTACCAAGGAACTGGCTTTGGGGACACCTGGAGTTGGGACCCAATGCTGTCAGGACTCTCCACATGGCTTGTCTCCTCTTTCTCCCAGCCTTCTGCTCCTTGCACGGACATGGCTTCTGGAAGCTCCAGGCCCACAGGCTTGCAAGACCAGAGGCGAAAGAGCTTGGCTTCTCCTGTTCCAGTCTGATTGGTGGTAGGACTCTGATGGTCCCAGCTTGGAACAAATGTGGGAGAAGTGGGCCTCACCCAATGCTCCTAGCACCTCTCAGAGCAGCCAGTGAACCGGAGATAAGCCACCCTCTGCTCAGAGAAAGGAAAGAGGCACTTGACCCTGTCCCTCTTGGGTCCCTTAAGCCCCTCTTTCCAGATGGCATTGCCCTAACCTCCTATCTCCTATTTCTGAAAGTCCCCCAGCATATTTATTTTTTCAAAAAACAACAGGCCAGAACTTAAGATGGGGTCTGATGTTTGCCCTAGGCCAGACAGAGTCTACTCCTGGGCTCTGAGGGACACCCACCCACTATACTGCAGCTTGTCTGTGAATGCCCTGTACACAATCAGAACTTTGCTTTAATCATGTACTTGAGAAAGAACTGAGGCATCCAGGTCTTTCAGTACAACCCCTAATTTGATGGACTAAAACATATTCCTTTGCATCTCTAAATTTTAAGTATAAACCAATGAGGAAATAAAATTCACCTAAAAATCTGATTTTGCTACTCATCTCCTGTATTCTCTTAGTACTTTTCAAAATACAGTCTTTGGTGGGGAAAAGCACCTCCCACAGAGGCCTCCATCACATTAAATTTGAACAAGACAGGCTCGGCACCTATAGCTCAACCGGCTAAGGCGCCAGCCACGTACACCTAAGGTGGCGGGTTCGAATCCCCAGCCCGGACCCGCCAAACAACAATGA